GAGAGTCTAGAAATAAACCCTTACACTTATGGTCAATAGACTTTCAACAAGAATGCCAAGACAGGAACACCGGGAGGGGGCTCAGTCAGTTAAGCTTCTGCCTTTGGCTCAGGTCATGATCTGGGGCTCCTGGGATCAAGCCCCGGTCTGGCTCCCAGCTCAGTGGGAAGCCTGCTTCTCCCTCTCCCTCTGCTATTCCCCCTGCTTGTGCTCTCTCTCTCGGTCTCTCTCAAATATTTAAATAAAATCTTAAAAAAAAAAAAAAAAAAAGACATGAAAGTATCCTGGGGTGGGCACCGTGCTAGAGACAGAATAGATATGCCTGAGTTTGTAAAGAATGGTTGGGCTGTGATGGGGCATGGTTATAGGGCAGGGGGAAAAAAACAGCCAAGAAGGGAAACTGAGAAAAGGAGGGTGAAAGTAGACTTGAATGGTGGAGTGAGCAAGATAAAACAAATTGAATCAGACTTGGAAGCAGAAGCTCCGTATTGGAGTCCTAGTTCTGCCTCTTTTAAGTGTCTTACTTTGGGTAGCCACATATCTTCTATTAATCTGCTTTCTCATTAAGAAAAAGAAAAGAAAATGCCTGCTCTACCAACCTTACAGAATTGTGAGGATCACAACAAAATGAGACAATTTAGGAGAGTACTTTGTATATTAGGTGCTATGCCTGTGAGGAGTGGTAGACCAAACACTGGCTTTGGAATTTGAACTGAGTTTAAACTCCAAACAAATTGTGTGACCTTGGGCAAGTTCCTTTAACCACTCAACCTCTCTGAACCACCTGAAAATGGGAATCATACTCTAACATTGTTGTGAAAGTTAGAGAAAATGTACATTTAAAAAAGCATCACTACAGATACATGCGAGAACTTCTAGGAATCTTCAGGAGTTATGCTATGCAAAGAAAGCCAGTCCCCAAAAGATCACATACTGTATGATGCCATTTATATAACATTCTTAAATGACAAAATTATAGAAATGAACACCATGAGGGGCTAGGAGGGCATGGCTATAAAAGGGCAACTCCTGGGGCGCCTGGGGGGCTCAGTG